TGGATTGAATCCACCTAAACTAATGTTCATCAGTTTATTTTATTGCATATAACCATGGAATCTTACAATAACTAATGCAATATACTGCTCATTTAACTTGATCTTAAAAGATCTCAGCTGATTTCAGTTACATCATAATCCTTGGGCAATCTGTTCTAGTGCTTCAATGCTTTTATAGGAAGTTCTTCCTACCATTCAGCCTGAATTCTTTTGGTTATTTTTTGAGCCATTTAATTTCTTCTTTAATCACAGCAGACAAGGGGAAAATATAATGAGCAATATTAAAATGAGGCAACCTTTTATATATTATCAAATTACCTCTTAGTTTTTGCTTCTCTAATTATACCTATTGTTTCAGTAATTCCACAAGACATATTCTCTAAAGATATTGTTTGCTATTGCTCTCATTTGGCTCTGAGCTTTTCTAAGCAGTTCCACTCATGCACAAATAGAGCTTTCACAACCAAATAATCCTTTAGTTTCAGAGCGGTATAATGAAATCCAAAGGTTCAAAGGGTCAGTTACAAGAAGCTACAACTCATCTATGCAGAAGCAGAATAAACTGGAGGGAGGCTACCTACACAGCCTCCAAGTGCTGCCCCACTTCTTTAATTGAGTCTGAAATGCCAGACAGCAATTGGACATCAGACTTGGCAAAATGGTTTAGTGATAAGAGCTCACCAGAGCCATGTTCTGGATAATAAAAGACCATTGCAGAAGCCAAGCTGTTTATCATTGCTTTAGCCCTATTTCTTTGCAAAGACCAGCCAAAAAAGCTACCCACATACTTATACTGAGATCTGCCCAATCTGAATTGCCATTATTGTCCATCTAAATATTCTCCATTAAGAGGAAACACCCACCCCATACTCTCAGTTCCATGCTTCTCCTGCATGTAGAAAGCAACAAATCTCCTAATACAAAATCCTGAAATTTGCAATGCTACTGGGCTGCAAGTCCTGGTGAGCAATTTTTGAATGACAGAATGTAGAGAGCCCTTAAAAATGCCCATACACCAATCCATGTAATAATGGTAGCAAACAAAATATTTCTTTTAGTTTGCATTTATCAACCACCCCCAGATAGCTTACTTTTATCTTATGACAGTTCCTCTGAGCAGTATTAACCTTGATCAAGCATATTTATAGGGTACAGATTTTCAGCAGCTTCTTACTGTGTCTGCTTTGTATTATCCACTATACAGATTCAGATGATTGTATGCATGCATTAGAAGTCTCCTGTGACTTCAAAGAAGTGCTAACTGTATTAAAAAGAGAAAGCAGCTGCCTGCTGTGTCCCTTGCACAGTGCCAGTGTTAATGAAAAATGCTTCTGAGAATTACTATCCCACTAATTTCTTTCAGTCAGGGAAGTGACATCCCAGATCTTTCAAGAACAGAATGGGATGCGTGCAAAAAGAAGAGGAGTCAGTAAATGATTTATGTTGACAGTTACTTTACATAATTTCTTGTGATAGTCCATAATCTTGTATTTCATACATTCTATTCCACACATTTTGTATAATTAATCCCCCAAATATCACACTAATGGGAGCGAATTCAGTCCAGATACTCATTTAGCAAAATACAATTTGAAAAAGACAGTTTATCAATGGGAAATTGCTTTTCAAAAGTATACAGACACACTGTCTACATTGTTCTGAAGCAACTTAATTTAAAGATTATCCTTATTGGTTAACTAAGGCATTGCCTTGAAATTCAATTGTCCAGACCATTAATTTGTACTTATGATCAGTTGCTGCTTTTATACTATATCTGGAAAGAGAGGCTTTAACATTAGTTTACTTCCATTTCCAACAAAGGATTAGGGTATTTGCACAAGGCACAGTATTGATGCTATAGTTCCTTCTTGCAATGAAATGGGATCATGTCAAAAGCTTTAATTTCATACAGAATTGGACGGAAGAGATGCACAGGAGTCTCATGTCAGTGTGTCCTATGCTAACAGCCAACAACTCTGGCATCCTGCCCAGGGCTACATACAATAGAGAACAACATGTTGTAACTACCATGGCAAACACCAGTCTGACACACGACTGGATGTGCAAGTGGTATGAAGGATATTCATCTACCACTGTGATGCTTCCTAAGGTCCATACACATCCTTCAGAACCTCCAGGATACTGCCAGATTATGGGGATTCTAAGCCCAAGGTAGTGAATAGCAAATCAGCATAATCATCATGACAAACACACTACTGTGGTCTTTACCAACACTGAGCAGTAAGTGCAGGCATCTCCTTTATCATACAACTTTCCCCATTTGCTGCCCCTTCCACTTCTTACTAGTGACATACTCCGAGTAGAGCACACAAAAACAGATTGTCTTCCCCTCACACAATGAATGTTAATCAATGTATAACTGATAATGTGCAAACTGACAGAAAGTAATCAACTGTGGCAATACTGCAGTGGTTGAATTTCAACTTGGGTCAGCCAAATGTAAATATTCTATTTGTCATAACTTGGCAGAGAGTGTCTACATTGAGATTTTCAAGATACTCACACCAGAAACAATCCCAATTGAGTCAATGAAAGCTAAACAAGGAATCTGTATGTTTAGGACCAGAGCCAAAGTCTCACAAAGATCTTAAATATTTCATGGCACTTTGCGATTAGACATTCCAAGCCTTGTTTTATGCCAAGTTGTTTTATAAAAAATGCCTCCAGGTAACTAGGCATTGCTCTAGTGTATAAATACTGATGGGAGACTTGACTGGTACAAAGTTCTTGCATGTTGTTTCCTGTCAGGTTTTAGTGCCCATGAAGTTTTACTGCTCACAGAAAGGCAGACAGCATGTGGGACAGCAGTGGGACAGAGATCCACTAGGATATTGGACGGGGTAAAAATACCCAAATAAATAAATAAATAACACACTGCTATCCTTCCTTAGTCACTTTTTAAAACAAAAATGGTAGCATCCTTTTTACAATGAAAATTATTATATAAGAAACAGGAACTAGGCTCCTGACTATATGCACTGATTTATGATATCTCTGTTTTTTTGTTCTGTATTTTAAAATGGCAATAAGTACAACCTCCTAAGAAAAAGACTATAAAATGTCTGAAGAGATAATGCTTAACATTCTTAGCATTCTATTCTTTGACTGGGTTCACACATAATGACAAGCCAAGGAGAAAACTGCTGTGATACGTATGATCTGTCATGTTGTCTGAATCCAGTCAAGGACTTACTGCGTGGTATGTTTGGTTTCTGTGTAACCACAGACAGAAACAACCATCTGTTGTACAGAGTCCATGCTTCATCATAGCTTATTCAACCATGTAAACCCAGAAACATGGCTTTCGTGCAGCTACCATAGTGTCTGGTTGAAAGAGTGGCTTCGGCTGAAGGCGGCACTCCAGCTTGCAGCTTCCACTGACCAGATCTGCCTAGCAACTGATACATCAGCTTCAGCCACACTCCACTTACCTGTTCCACACTCCCTCCTGCCTCTCACTTCTCCACTGCCCTCCAGATGCTCAACTGCAGCTTTGGAACGTTACTGGACATGAAGAAGCATGCCACAATGCCTCTATTAGCAACCTTGGAGACAGTCGTTTTTTGTACAATCAGTGCTCATGAGCTGCTCTGCCACTGCTTTCTGGCAGACGCATCACTCCCCTCTCTTTCCCTACACTCCCCTCTCTGCCCCGTACAAGAAGAATACATGGGCTACACACAGGGCAATGCCAACAGGGTGATCGCCAAAACCCCCCATGTCCCTGGCTCTGTCTCCCTCCCTCTGCTCTGTTCCTACCTTGACCCTGGCATTCCTCAGGACTGTTAACAAGCTCTACCATTACCTGCCCGCACCCTCTGAATCCACCAATACCCACCACTGTCATGAAGAAAGTGTAGGAGATCTGTGCCACAATTTTCCAGTGCATTTGGGAAAAGCTTCACCAGTAGACCCTCCATTCCAGCATAGATGCCAGACTATTTCCTAGCAGTGGACACATCAGATTGACCCTCAGAGCTTCCTGCCTGAACAGCAGAGAGATGAGGCCATGCTGCAGATGTGCCCCCACCACAGCTCTTAAAACCCCTAGTGCAATGCTGCAAGCCAGCTATGTGCATAGATCTGTAGGCATAAGTCCATAGAGTTAGATAGTGGGCAATGCCAAGAACAGTGAAAGCTGGATGGCATGCCCTACCGATTCAACCCTTTCCCAAACTTTCTTTGGGACACATTTTTCTCCTAGCTGAGCTTCAAAACTGGGCAAAGATAAATTTCCAGATGTTTGGGACTTGAACTCCCAGAAGACCCTGCCAGTATGACCAATGATCAGCAATACTGGGATTGATGTCCAGAACATCTGAACATACACTTTATGTCCACCCCTGTACTAATGGAGCGGACTACTATCAAGTAGTATCTGGGGAAGAGTTGCCATCTGTGACATGGGACGCTGCAGTGAAGATGCTTCAAAAATTTTCTTTAAAAAAAAATGAAAACCACTGAGAAAAGATTCCCTGGCTCATAAGCCAGTGGCAATCCACCAAAAATGAGAAAGTCATGAGCAACTATTTCTGTACCGTAAGCAAGTGTTAAATTATCCACTTACCTCTGCCAACACCACGATCAGAATAAGATCAGTTTTTGAGTCTGGGAAAAGTGCATTTACTTGGGGTGACATGCCAATCAGGACACAATTTGTAACAACTGATATAACAGTCATAGTCTGAAAAGCCAACTAAAACAAAGAAGAAAAGGTTTAGAAAGAGAAAGAGCCAAATTCTTTTCCTTTATTTTATATTCAGAAGTGCCAATGACCTATATTTGAGACAGGCATCTGTATAAAAAAGAAAAAAACCTACTAAAAATCATACAAAATACAAATGCCTCTAGCCTTTTGGGTTTGTGGACATTTATAATGCTGAATGTGTGGGGATTGCTCTAAAGGACCACTGTGGGAAAACCTGTCCATTCACAAAGCGGCTGTCATGGTGGGCACAGCCAGTAATAAAATACCCATTTCCCAGAAGGCAAACTAGTAATGCTCCTTGAGCAAGCAACTAATGACAAAGTAGGGAGGGGCTGATTGGCCCTAAATATCTAACATCTTATTGCCCCAAGAAGGGCCTAAAGTTATTGCTGATAGTAAGGATGTTTCCAGAAACCATTACTTTATTTTGCCGCATGCCAACCTAACAGGTAAAATATTTTAATCAAAAATTAAATTTAATTTAAAGTAAGCAAAAATCAGGAGAAACAGGAAACATGGTGGAAAACAATAGGAATGCCTGTGGGCACCAAATTGAAGACACTAAGCTGAATCTGCCTCTCCCAGGTTCCAAGTTAAGATACTGAAATCAAGGAAAGAATAGATGATAGTAATAATAGTCAGCTTACTCAGAAGGAATAATCTGACTCCTCAAATTTCAGCTACTGGAGTCAGAAGCAGAGTATGCAATCTGTCATTAAATGAGGTGGACAGAATACCTTTCTCCTATCTCCAAGAAGAACAGAATTTCACAAAATTAATTTCCTTTTCACCCTCACTGGGCAGGACGGCATTGAATACAGCAATGTAAAAAATCAGTACATCTGAAGTATAGACATCAATCTCATGGCCCAATTACCTTCCAAGAACCTTTGGAGGACAATTTGCCTGAAGCTGCTATAGAATCCATAAAGAACCAAGTGGCTAAACTGTGGATTACTTCCAGAGGCAGTGTTCCCCAAATGCCAAATTTCTCAATATGGTCAGACATTATAACCTCATATTTTTATATACGTTTATCCTAATTTATATCCTTAACAGAAATAGAGCTAATAATCTTTTCATGCACTTTAATGGTAACAGGAAGCAAAAAAATCATATAAACATCAAGAACATGAACTGATTACCTGCCATACACCTATATTAGCGATGGGCTCTGAAAATGGACGTTTAAAAATCCTGCACATTTTTAAGGCATCAGAATACATCTCTGTGAGGTTGTTCAACACGGCAAAAACAGCTGCCAGAGGGTAGACACATGAAAAAAGGCTCACATAGCCAAACTGTAAGAACAATTCCAAATAATCATCAAAGGTGCCCTGGGAAGAAAGGAAACAGTATTTATTACATTTATATTATACCTTTCTTCCTTCCAAGAACTCAAGGTGACTTACATAATACTCCTCCTGCTCTTAATCTTATCCCAACAACAACAACAACCCTGTGAGGTAGGTTGGCTGAGAGTATGTGACTAGCCCAGTCACCCAGTGAGCTCCATGTCTGAGCAGGGACTAGAACTCAGACTGCCTAAGTTTATTTATTTATTTATTTATTTAAACATTTATATGCCACCCCATTCGCCGAAGCCTCGGGGCGGCTTACAACATAATAAAAATTACAATAGTAACAATATAAAATATAAAATAACAATATAAAATAAATAACAATATAAAAGAAGTCGCCCTGGCCAGATAAAATAAGCAAATACTGTTAACAATTAAAATGACGCTTAAATAAAAAGGTCTTTGCCTGGTGCCGTCGTTATTTGTTTTTCGGCGCCAGGCGAAGACC